AATGCTTCACTTCACATTCTGGTTTGATTTCGAGTGCTCAGTATTGCGGTTTAGGGTTGTAATGCCTAGCGAACCACGAGTGATACCAATTCGTCGCATCGATACGGGCTATGAAGCTCAAGCTCCACGACGTGGTACTGCGTCGACCGCTTCGGAAACGTTAGTTCTTAAGTTCTCTCATTCAATATATGCTTAAGTTCATATTTCTTTTTTTTTCTGACGTAGAGTGATGCTTGCAATTTCTGAGTAGGTATGTTCCAGTTATGGCAATGAACAACTCATTTCCTGGAATGACGATTCGCGATACGACAGAAGGCGAAAACCAGACTTCATCGATGCCTACGATGAAGTGGAACCAAACCATTTTCGGGAAAGAGAAATTAGAGACAGAGAGACCCGACACCGAAGTCGACCACTTCAAACACCAGCAAGAAGCCAAAGTTCCCACGCTGTTGCTGTTCATGAGAGAACATTTAGGTTTGAACGGAATTTCTTGTTAAATTTCACGAGATTTAAGGGTTTATTTGCAGGGTTGATGATCCAGTGAGCACCGGAGGAGCAATGGTTGGTGACCGTTGTGTTTGGGTTTCGGAAGGTGTACCACACAAGGGAACAATCAAATTTATCGGGCATCTGAAAGGGCACAGCAATTTATATGCCGGCGTCGATTTTGTGAGCTCTTCAATCATTTTCTTTACTCTTTACATTTATTATTTCACCGCATTGCGGTGCACTTCTTTTCCATATCTTTCAAGGAAAAACAACCTAACCACTATCTCCTTTTTTTTGATAAAATGCTCTTAGCCTTTAGCATTAAAGCGGCATCTTTTACCTGTTGATGCGAAGAAAAATTGCTGAAGAAGAAAAATAAAAGAAAAATTGCTTGTATGGTTGTGTAGATAATCTTTGACCATCATCAAAACAACGCGTTTCTCTTCTCTGAGTTAATGGAAACAATATTTCAAGTTCAACGTTGATCCTTCGAATTCAGTAAGATGGTTTATTGAAGATGAATTCTATCACTGAATATAAGAAGCATTTAAGTCCTTTATTCGGTCAACTGAACTCAGTTTTTGAATTTACCACGTAATCGAATAAATGACCTCTTTTCAGGATGAAAAAGTAGGTAAAGGCACTGGGGTCTTCCAAGGAGAAGTTCTGTTTCAAACCCCGGAAAATCATGCCGGATTCGTGCTCCTTTCTGCTCTCGAAATCATCCCGCGATCATTAGCAGTCAGTGGAAATGCAACCAATCGCCATATTTCGATGGTGCAGAAGCAGGTAAAGGTTTCATGCATTAGATCAACTTCATTCTAACTCTTGCTTTTTGATATTT